ATATATATATATATAAATATATAAAAAAATATAGCGTAATTTAAAATGCATACCGGTATCAACGCTTCTCCGTTATATAAAAATTCCAACAAATGATTTAATTGAGTCTTTCGGACGCCTGATAAATGAACCACGTGGTCCAGGGCAGGATTCCGAAGTAGACTAGCCAAGAGGGGACTGGCAGCTGCCAAAACGACACGATGGGCCTTCACAACGGACCCATCGTCGCATGCCAGGGTTACATCTACGTGACGGTCCCCGCTGTACCAGGCCCCGACCTCTGCGGCCAAGGTCGCTGGATGTTTTCCATAATGGAGCGTCAGGAGACCGTCAGAATACATCGTCTGAAACAAGAGTAAGAAAAATATTAATATCTATGATCGGATAGGCTTCTGTGTTAATCTAAAATTTGAATATGTCATTCGTAAGGAAAGAAATAAAAATAATAAAATCAATAGGCTCTAAAGAAAATTCTAAAAAATAATAAATAAAATGCTAATTTGAGCCGACACTGGTTATTAGTGTGTTATTATAAAACCATTTATTAAAAGTGTGAATATTAAACGTATACGTTTCGACCTACGGTCAAGGTCCTCTTCAGTATAAAAGATATATTAACAAAATTAAATAATGGTAGCGCATACAAATATAAACTAATAACATAAAAAACAAGAAAAAACGTGGTGGTGATGTCCGAGTTAATCATTAAATTACTAAGTTAACTAAAAAGAAAAATATTCTGTTTTAAAAAACCAAATAAATCAAGAGTTATAAAATAATTAAAAAATGCTAACAAGAGATTATGCACAAAAAATGGTAAAAAACTTATATGACTGTCAAGATTGAACTATTTTTTATAAGGTTTGTTGCACATGTTCCATTAAACTGTTCAATTTACTGTGTAATGCAAATAAGAATAAATTAAAAAGTTAATATAAATAACAGTAAGAATTCAATTTTTGGTTCACTTACATGAAACAAAATTTTAAAGATATTAGACACGACATGACTGTTTGGTAGACAGAAGTAAAATGAAAAGTGAGAGGAACATTGGACAACAGAACATGTACTTACAGAGACAATAAGTAAAAATATATAAATAATAAATAACAAAGTATAAACGATATAGGTTGGAAGCATTACGTCTCTGAAAATAGATCAATATATAACGGGTGAAGAGAAAGTGTATCATTTTGTAAATTTAGACCTTATTTTTGTTTTTTAATGGGTATCATCTCTAATAACAATCTTTTATGTAGAATTTGCTCTTTGTCTAAGATATGTGCGTTGTCCCAATTGAAATCATAAAATAAGTCTATCCGATGTTGGGTGAAACCGCATGTACTTGTCTGTCCAACATACGATGCATCACAATCATTACAGTCAATCTTATATACTACTACGTTAGATTAAGAAGATTGAGGTAGCACATCTTTCTGAACTTTAATAAATCCATTGAGCTTATGCCTCTATAAGCCATACGTCAAAATGGTACATTTTTAAAGAGCATACTAATTTTTGTGGAAATATTAGGAATAAATGGTATACAAAAAAATATTTTTTATTATTAATATCTTCTTTGGTTGTTAATTGTTTATCAATAATGAAATCATCAGCATTAAAAAGATCAAATTTTTTGTAAAGTCTTTTTTTAATAGTTGAAAATATCAAACTTAGAGGATAATCATTATTCAGAAGGATCTTTATGTAACTAATTAAAAAAAAATAAAAACAGATAAATAATGAGGCATATTAAAGTATAATTTTTGTCAATAGTTTTTGATCAAATTATCAAAATTTATAAACGATAGGTGGCATGTGCCTCTGATTAAACTACTTTTTGTAGAAAAAAAAATCTAAAGATTTGAAAAATTTAGATTTAAAAGATTCCAAAAACAGATTTAAAAAGATTTTAAAATAACATTTGTAAATAAAAAATATGACTGATGATATCGAATATTTGATATCATAATGATAAAAATCTTTGCGATAAATTAATAATTAATTACACACATAAATTATTTATTGATAAATTAAAAAAAAAATGAAATCGTCTATCATATAGACATAGCGTGCAATTATAGTAAGAAATTATGTGATAAAAAATGCATCCCGCGTCCTTAACCCAATAAGTGGTCTTGCGTGTTGCGATGACAGCTTCGTTACACTAATTTCCTCCTTTCGTGTCTTGGTTCTTCAAGAAACGGCGGAAGAGATACTGACGTGTCACAAGATCATGTTTCTAACGTTTCTCTTACATCTACGCAGCTCTCAGTTGACCATGTCGAACATGTTTAATGTATACTATGCAATTATCTAGTTAGACGGTCTAAATTCCTCATTTATTTTATTTTCACGTATATTTAATTATATCTGTTTTGATTTTCCTACAACTTCACAAAAATTACAAAAAAAAAAAAAAATTATCTTCTTTATGAATTTTAATATTTCATACAACATTAAATTTATATAATACTTTCATAAATTTATTAATAACGATGCATCGAATAAAAGCTCTCGAATATTTAATATATTTTGTATACTCTTTCACAAAATATAATTAATTAATATTATGTAATATAAACTATGATGTAATTGTAGGTATATGATTTTCGAATGTGACTTACAAACCTGTTTTCTATTACTAGAAATTCTTCTGATCCTATTAACTATCAGAGAAACAACTTGTTTTGCTACAGAATCCGGTTCTATTTAATATTTTTTCACCAAGTGTCGGTCAATCGAACATAATTCGCTCCTAATTAGCACTTGTTTCAGAAAACAATTGATGGATTGTTGTTACGACATAATTTTGTAATACTGATTATAAAAAAAATATTTGACTAATACAATATCGAGCGCGTAAGAAATATCCCATTCATCCGTGTCGAAGATTTGCAACAGTTTAACGCGGCCATGGCTAAGAATTAACGGCTGATCGAGCATTCCTTCAGTTTCTCAAGGGAAGTCGAGAGAGAGAGAAAGTCCGGTTTCACATTATGTTCTCAAAAGGAGCAAACGTATAACTAATATTATGAAATGAATTCCGCAATGTCAAACGTGTCTCAAGATTATGATCTGTTTAATACTGAAAATTATCATTTACCAGTTTGTCGTATACTTTCATTAATCTTACATTTATTGTAATATTATCGAGAGAATATATAAGATATATACGACAAATATAATTTTGATAATTATTATATTAATTTATCGATATATTCTCTCTAATTTAACGCACGAGAGTAATAATTGCAGTGTTAAAATTATTTAAAGCATCTTTTCCAATGCAGCCTGATTTGTTTATGTTTTGTATGCAGATTTATACAATGATTGTTTTCACATAAATACATTTTTCGAATTATTTTCAAAAACGTTTAATATGATAATCAAAAAGTGAATACTTTACGTAGGTAAATTTTATTCCATTGTAAAATATCTTAAAATGTGTTAACTCGGGATTATAGAGCGATGAAGTAATGACGTGTAGTACGATCTAAGAGCATCTCGCATTTGCTGCCATGACCTTCAGTCGATTGTTCGATCGAATTCGAAAGGAAAGACCTTGGGTAAGAGTCCCGAAGAAGGTGCTGAATCTATCATTGAATTTTAAATCATCGAAAGTAGCGCGACGGGTTCCCGTCGAATTCGACATTAGGCATGCATATAGATTCGCGGCTGTGGGCTACCGTTTATTTATTCTCAGATAACACTCATCGTAATGTCTCGTTGTAACGAATTCCTTTCGTATTAGACGTCGCAAAGCGCCGCATTACGTAACTGGAAAATTTATATCTACCTGTAACAGCGCTTGGCATAAGAAAATTATTTCGTTGAAAGCCTAGCGCATAGTAGACCGAGTAGCACTTAAACTAATACAATTATTTTATCTTCATCTTAATATATTATATTAAAAGGAGAGTAATATCTTGAATAAAAAAAGGAGACGAAAGCAAAGGCAATACATCAAATCTTCCATTTCTGTCTCTTTTGTTTTTCTTCGCATTAAAATGTATGCATATACGTTCGTTTTTACGATCATGCAGTCGCACGTAATAAATTAAACGAGACATCAATTTTTTTCATAACGAGCCTTTCGCGTGCGTGTACCGCTGTCTCTATCATGACAGATATTTATCCGTAATGAGAGAAGTCAGAAACGATTTGGAAAAAAAAAAAAAAAAAAAAAGAGCAAGTTCTTCAGGTAAAAATTACGATGCGGTGGCACAGCCGTACACGCTCGCTCGCATGCGTAATAAAGTTGCCGGGGCGATACTGAGAAAATTGCTAAATAAGGAAATCATTGCTGGACGGACACTGCCGACGTTGCTGTCGCTGCTTCTGGTTGCTACTGGAAATGCTAGTAAGCAGCGCGGCTGAAGTTCAGGGTCAATCCGTACCTAGCCGGCAGGCCGGATTACGTTCGCGCTTACGCTCACGTTCTTCTTTCTTCTTCTATTTGGGCCTTGAAGAGTTGCCGGGCAGGGTCTCGTACCGCGCGTTACGCGGACGTAATAGATGACTGGACGAAGTGTCACCTACGAAGAGAGTCGAGAAACGCAAGTGGAGATCGCTGAGAATTGCCGTATTGAGCAGTAATACCGTTCCAACGACATCAATGCAAATATGGTAACTCGGTACTGTTCCGCCAAGTTTGGATTTCGGTCATAGGTAGGCAACAGATTTAGGTAGCCTTTATCAGCAATAATAATAGAGATTCGTGATTTTCAAGTAATTCAATCATCAATCATATTTTCATTGAAACGTCGCTCATAATTAAGATAGCTGATTGGGTTTAGGTCTTTTTCCTGAATTTTTTCGAACCTTTATTGCTATTTTTTAAAGACGATATTTATAATATCCGTTCTTATTTGAAGATCTTTCGAGTAAGGTCTTAAATACGGCTCTATGATTGTTTTATGACTTCTTAAGATCTTGAGACAGTGCCTTAAACACATGAATTGATTATGAATATGGGCTTAAGAATCCTTCTTTCGATTATTTGCTCGTGCATGTGTAGGAAATTAAATTCCATATCGAAAATCCGCTATCCGAAGCAGGAAGAATCAGAATCGCACGCTTTTACCGGTTAAGTCACACTCCTCGTTTTCTGCGCGTGCTGTGCTGTGCTCTGCTGTGCCAAGAACAAAACTATTGTACCTCCGAACCGAGTACCTCAGTACACGGTGTCGGTAAAATTCGTTTAACATCAGTTGATATTTCATATTATAGGAAACTTTAATTTCAATATTAATTGCTCCGAAAATGACTACTCGCAATATTATTTTACTCGTATGACACATTGTTATTCTGTAGTATTGCGAGGAAAATTTTTAATAAATTT